AAGAAAAACCACCGAATTAACACTTATGGGCAAAATAGCCATCAATATAGCTACAGGCAGCATTCAAAAAAGTGAAACAATTGTTGGAATTGACCTAGGAACTACCAATAGCCTCATAGCTATTGTGCGCGAAGACAGTAAAAAAGCTATTGCATTAAGAGAGATTGATGGCTTGACCTTAGTGCCCTCTGTTGTGCATTTCGACGAATTTGGCAATCCAAGTGTTGGTATATCTGCAAGCGAAAAACTCATCAGCGACCCTCAAAACACCATTTATTCTGTCAAAAGATTAATGGGTAAAAGCTATAATGACATTGCTCAAGAAAGTGGATTTTTCTCCTATAAAGTCATCAACGATAATACTGATGCCCTTGTAAAAGTACAAGTTGGCAATAGGTTTTACTCCCCTATCGAGCTTTCATCACTTATACTTAAAGAACTAAAGGCCCGTGCCGAGCATATCCTCAAAACTCCGGTTAATAAAGCAGTCATAACAGTTCCGGCGTATTTCAACGACACACAAAGACAAGCTACCCGTGATGCTGGAAAATTAGCAGGATTAGACGTATTGCGAATCGTCAACGAACCTACTGCGGCTAGCCTAGCCTATGGTATGGGACTTAGTGCCGACGAAGAAAAAACCATCGCCGTGTATGACCTTGGTGGAGGTACTTTTGATATGTCTATTTTGCATATCCACAATGGCATTTGCGAGGTTTTGGCAACCAACGGCGATACTTATCTTGGAGGTGATGATGTTGACCAAGCCATTGCCGACTATTGGATGGGTGATTTAAAATTAGAGAAGTCGCATCATCTCAAACAAAATGTCAGACTTGCTGCCGAAGAAGCCAAAAAGAAGCTTTCGGAACAAGAAATTTATAGCTGTACCATTGAAGATTACAACTTGTCGCTGAGTAAAAGTCAATTTGAAAGCATTGCCATGCCGCTGATACAACGCAGCTTGGATTGTTGTGCGCAAGCTTTGAAAGATGCCCAAATTGGTATTGACAAGATAGACGAGGTAGTGATGGTGGGTGGTAGCACAAGAATGAATTTGGTCAAAGAAAAGGTCAAGCAATTTTTTGGCAAGGAAAAACTACATGATGAGCTTAACCCTGACGAAGTGGTAG